TGCCACCAAATGGCAAAGATGGTGTACCACATGACAGGAAATAAACACATAAAAAACAACAACAAAACAAACAAACAAACAAAAAAAAAACAGTCAAAGCTCCTTATTAATATCAATGAATAAATAGTTTCTGCCTTGCCTGCACACTAAACTCATCTTATTCCCACTTGATTCCTGTCAAGACAATGTTTGCTGACTTAACAATTATTTTCATTTTACCATTTTTGGATTTGACATCAGAAGTAACATTAATGACTCCAGCATTAAGGGTAACGAGTCCTTTTTGTCTCCTACCATGATGTGGACTTCTGGACTTCATCTTCAGCTGATACTTGATTTTTTTGTTCCTTCCAAGTTTCTAAAATTTTCTGATTTCTCGCCTTACTACTTCTGGATAAGAAACTTTCTCCTTTATTTTTGTCTCCTCTAATCTTTCTTTATAACTTCATAGGCAATTTTATAACTTTATAGGCAACACTGTGATGTTGTGATGTCCTCCACATTCACCACCACGTCTTGCACACCTTCTTATTCCTTTGGAATATTTTGCCAAATGCAAATATTTTATTTTTTTCTCCTAAATTCATATATTTACACTTAATGGTTATTTTGTAAGCGTGTGAATCAGAAGTCAAATTCTTTGTTTGCAAACAATCTGGCCAACAAAGCTGATTCTGATGAAACTCCCTGATTGTTTGCAGCTCTCTGGATCTCCCTTACATTGAAGAAGCCATGATTAATAATTAATGGTTTTCCCCAAAATTATTCTCTTTATTGTTTTTTTTGTTTTGTTGTTGTTTTACATCTGTAGTTAGAATACATCACCACTTGCAAACTCTTTTGAAACCAGTAAAAGCCAGTAAGTTTTGTTAGTTGATGGAATAATATGATCATGAACTTTATTTAAAAAGGGACAATACACTGTTCCAACATAAATGTCACCATTTGATGAACTGAACCATTTTATAACAAAAACTAATTTTCATCTGCAGTCCCTTGACGGGCTACAAAAATGGATATACAATTCACTGATAAAATAGACTAAATGTAACACTATAAGTTGCTTTCACACATTCTTAGTCATTTAATCACTACCTCACATGCACAGGAATACAGTTAATGTCTACATACCTGAGCAGTTTTAAACAATATATATTTATTTTAAAATTAGATTTGAAAACTCTCAGCAGAGAGCTGCTGCTCCTCACATTATCAGTGTGTTCCTCTGAGTAGTAGCCATAGTAACAGAAAAGGCTGCTTGTCCAGTAAGAGGACAGCAAAATGGGAGGGTACAATCTCTCACGGATGATATTCTCATAGATCGTCTGCCTCTAAGCGGCAAGAATTATGAATGACATAAAATACATTTTTCTCTGATTTGGCAGGATTACTTATGTTTGTCTTCTGGACAAACAGTAGGTTATGTTTGTTCATTTGTATAAATATGTATGTATGTATTCTTTATTTAACCAGAAAACATAACTCTGAGATTAAAAATCTAAAACATAAAACTTGTGAACAACTCGTAAGGAGCCATGAGGCTCTCCCGCTAAAGCAGGAAGAGGGAGGAGCAAGACCCAGTAGCTTTGACACCGAGTTCTAGCAGATAAAAAGTTCTACCTCTACTATGTGCAAGTTTTTATAAAATGTTCAGAAAAAAATATTTATCGTCTCAAATCAAATACGACTGAAGGTTCTGTTTTTCAGGTCTTTATTTTCAGAAAGATTTAAAGGAAGTTGTTTTCTTAAAAAAAAGAACTTCACTTCAATATTATCATCTATGAAGACAAAGAAACAAAATTCACAGAGCTAGAAACACACACCAATACACACAACCTGGGTATCAGCTTGCCTTTGTGCAGAGAGGAGTGGTGAGAGACATTCTTATCAATACTTGATGATAATATAGAAGATGGGACATTTTTCCTCCCACAGTGCAAGTAGATAAAGTGCTGGACTCTGTAAGATACGGAGCCAGAGAGCAGCCGCCTGCCCTCCTTCTCTAACTGACACCCACCTTTTCTTTCTCCCTTTTCCCCTTTGTTGTTTGAAAGACACATCAGATTGTGTTGCAGAGGAGAATGCTACCAGAAGACAGGCGATACCATGTCTGCTTTCAGGTAAAGAATGTCAGATAATATTAAAAAAACGAGACGGAGGGAGGGGGCAACAGAGTAAAAAGTGTCTGCCATGTCTGACACTGATTTGTATCAGGTACAAATCAGTTCAGAATCCAAGATGTCTTCATGTAACATTTTGTAGAGAATTAGCATCTGACATACTTTTGGAGAAAACCTACATGGTTTTCTCCTTTACTCGCCATGGGAAAAAGTGGCACATCACACTGCAGACTGCTGGTGATGATACATAAATGTATGTGTTTTTAAACTGCACAACAATCACCATGACTATAAAAGTATCCATGCAATAACCTTATAAGTTAGACTAGACCACCACTCATGTGCTCTCTGTCTGTGCAGCTGTGCTCCCACATTTTCATATTCTGAGAGAACAGTACATTTTGAGTTGTTTTATTTTTGAATAAATTACTGTTCTCATGGGGAGATTTGTTCAGTAAATTTTTATTTATACTGTAATGTCACGACTTGAAAATTATACTGACTATAATTTTCATTGTCCATTTAAGAAAATCTGAGAATGAGTATGTCAATGTTTGGGTACAGCTCTATTTCACAAATATCAGCAGATGTTTCAATTTTAGAAAGGGACATGAAAGGTTAAAAACAGCTCAGGATGTGTGTATTGATCATTCCAGGTTCTGCACAACAAAAGATGAACCTGGTGAATGGACAGAGAGCAATGATGAGGTCAAATGGGGTAATAGCTGATGACCTGATAGAAACCCAGAATTTCTGGGTTTTCTTAAAAACTGTCAGGTTATATTTATTCACCTTGGTCACAAAAATGTCACTAAAAAACAAAAGAAAATCTATATTCTATCATAAATTACTATCTTGGCAATAGGTTATGGCCAGGTAGCTTTTACTTCTTGAATTTTTCTGAATTAAATCAATAATCATTTTGGATGTGACACAAAACAAACTAAGACAAAGTTAAAGTAAATACAAATTTACTTTCCCAGTAATGTCAGAAAGTGTGGTGGAAGTTTTGAGGCAGGACGCTGGAGTCCCAGGTCGATGATGATTTAATGAAGAAAAAAGGCACAAAAATCTATAATAGTCCAAAACCAAGGCTGCACTGCTGAGTGGAAACCAGGGTTCAACACAGGTAGTGACAAGGCGAACGAATGGACTGACACAGACATCCAACAAGGACCCAACGAGGAACAAAGGACACATGTGGGATTAAATACACAGGGTAATCACAGAGAGGAGACACACCTCAGAGTAATCAAGGGGAGACAGGACAACTTGAAGACTCAGAGACACAGAAAACTCAAAATAAACAGAGAAAAACACAGAATATGAAGAGTAATCAGTTATTACAAATCTATTGATTACTGAAACTAGACTAGATTAAGAAAAGTGTGTTACGTTTCACATCAAACAACTTTCAACAGACAAAGTCAATATGACTAACTGTCATGTTTCAGAAATATATCCATAGAAATGTTGGAATGGTCTGGAAGTAATAAGGTCTGATTGTGACACAACACTAAAAATGTGGGTATCCACAATTAATTAATCAGTTTTACACAGTCAGGTTGCTTTTTTTCCCTGAATAAATAAAATCCTCATTTGAAAGCTTCTTTGTGTTTTCCCAGGTTTTCTTTTTGATATTCAAATTAGTCTGATGATCTGAAACGCTATGGCTAAATCCATAGAGAGCAGTCACTTTTTCACAGCCTAACTTTTATCAATGTTATCCTTTCTTCTTTGTTGTTGTTAAATGAATGAGTAAGTGTTTGATGTACAAAGGAGTCCCAACCACAGATCTACACACCGACAGAGAGAGGGAAACAGCAATACCTGCAGCCTGCAGCCACAGCACCTGTTCAAGCCCAAACCCAACAACTCAGTGTTGGCACTTGAGGTTTGTGCATACTACCTGAAGAATGCAAACCAAGACAAAATCAGAGCAGAAAAGCAACTCTGTATTACAGCTTTGCTTTGTGGAATAAACACTGCATGTTACTATTTACATCCGAAAACTTTGCACATGCGCGTAATACTGGAGGGCAAAAAGGCTATTCCTTTACTTGCCATCCATGGCTGAAACTGCCATGGTGGAGCAATTCCATTAGCAAAGTCAAACCTGGAGATGCACGTCATTAACTTACTGTAGTGCACCACAAAGGGAAAATAACATTGAAGAACAACTCAAAACCACTTGTATTCTTATTTTCTCTGTGCTGGCTAGCTACTCTCAGACCCGTTGCCATAGCGCCTGATTGACAACAGCTCCATTTGCTGACCGAGCAGAGATTACTTGAAAGTGTATCTGGATTCAGTACTAATAAGCACAACATATTTCCTGCACAAAGAACAGAAAAATCCCTCTGTAATGTTGACAATGTGGCAGGAAGACCAGTGGGATTCATGGTTGTCCTCCTGCTGGAGGGCAGGATTGTGTGTGTGTGCGTGTGTGTGTGTGTGTGTGTACGTGTGTGTGTGACATCACTTTGAAACGTGTTCATAGATGAAGTCTTCAGGCAATGGACGACAGCACTGGATAGCTTAATCGTGTTGCATGGCAACCAGTCCATTTACAACTTCCTCAACTACTCTAACTTTTGGAAATATTTTTATGTTTTTTGAGTTTCAGTATTTTGAGTTTTACTTATTAAATATGAACAAGTTGGTGCATTTGTATTGACCGGACTCCCAAAAGAGAAAGAAGACCCCAGCTGGCGTACTGAACGCTCTACAACGGGGTAACCAGGAGGCACAAAGATGGTCAGAGGAAAGAAACTACATACCTAAACAATAAACTGTCAAGAAATATAAATGGCCTGCATGCAAAGTCATTTGCCCACATCACACCTTTGAGATGTTAGCAAACCCAGTCTGTGCATTTACCTTGTAAAAGCTGAGCTGGTTCAACACCCAGGTGGTTGCCTCCGTCTTTGTGAGTGTGTCTGTGTCAATGAGGGGGCAGCAGAGAATAAAAGCTGTCCTATTTGCTTCTCTTCTGTTCTCCAGCCACTGTCTGCATCTCTCAGGCAACAATCCCACAGCCAACAGGGAGAGCAGCCTTCTGTTTTACCTGACACACTGACTTCTACAAAGCAAACTGGTTACTTGTGAGACTGCTTGTCCACTCCTTTACCTTTAGCTTGTTTACCTGTCTTCAGTAGCTGCCTGCCGTCAGAGCTCACCTTTACACCTGTCAGTGTAACCTGGCTGTAATTTAGTTGAGCTGTCTACCTGCAAGCTGCTAGCTTCTCGCTCTTTCTCTCTCCCTCCCTCCCTTTCTTTTTTCTTTCTTTCTTTGTGTGTGTGCTGACATGAGAATAGTCCTTCCTCCTTTCTTACCTGGACTCACCTAACCTGTTTTGCAGTGTTTCTTGCACGTTGTGTTGGTGATTAACACTGATCTGCTCATTCATGCAGGAATTTGAATAAGTAACTGTGACCTAATTCAGGCACACAAAAGCAGAAAGAAAGTGCACCTGCTTTTTCCCCCCTGGCTTAACACAAACGAACATGAACTATAAACATATTTTAGTCTAAGCACAAGAAAATAACTAAGTAGACTGCTTCTGTAAGATTTAGGAGGAACAACAGCAGTTACTGGTGATTAAATGCTGAAAATAAGTTGGTCATCTCAACAAAATCTCCATGTCCATACGTTATAATCACAAAGAAGAAGGTTGTCCAGGTGCAACTGGGTATAGTTCAAAGACCATCTCCAAAGTATATTTTATAATTTTTTCAAAAATAAGTTTAGAATGCTATGGGGAATTACAACACCACAAAAAATCTCCATGTGAGATTATACAAGTTAGCTTATCAAATTTAGTTTCTTTTTATAACATTTATTCACAGCAAACGTCATCTCAAAGAAATTCACTAAAAATGTTTCAATTCAATTTCACATACATTCCAATCGATCCTATATGAAATAGTACAGAATGCTCAATTAATTATTCATAGTACAATAAAAAGTTTCAACACAGCAGTTGCATTAAATTATTGATTTAAATGTTCATGGCAGGACAGTTAAATAAGAAATTAATTGTTTATGCAGTAAGTCATTCAACATCATGGCAGGGATGGGTGTAAAAATAAACAGTTACATGATATATATTCATAATTCAGAGCTCAGCATTTATCAGCCATCAAAGGAAACGTTGGAGCTAAAAGCTCCTCATAGTTGGGAGCGGCTACATCTGGGGAAATTATAGTCAGCAATTTTATAGACGAGCAATAGATTCAACATGTTCCAATAACTTTTTATGAAGTGTGATGCTGTGAGAGCTCTGGTGGAGCCACTGGCACATTGTCTGAAAAAAACAAAAACAAACTATGATCCTCCTAGTTGCATCGTTTTCGTGGTTTATGCCTGTGGCAAAAAACCCAACTTTTCCTTGCAAGTTTCTTTGAAAATGGAATCAACATCCCACAAATCTATGATTAATGGAAAAACAACTACCGATGAAATCATGTGACCAAAATTCTTGTTCAGAGGGAGACAAACTGTAAAATGTTGTATGCTGTAATGAAGAGGTTGGAGCTGCACTTGGGTTGCCAGCTAAAAATGCACTTGGGTTGACTTGGGGCTGGTTGGTAAATAATTGTGATGCAACAATTTAGATGTTTTGGAACAGGCTGTTTACCAGCAGAACTCTTACACTGTTTCTTGAAGCAGAATATATCCTTATGGAAGTACAGAAATATGCAAAAAATTACCTTTAAACTGGTAAAAAAAAAAAAAATCTTCCTAATTTATTTAACATGTTTTTATTATGGTTTCCTTATTGTATTTTGCTGCTTAGCTATTTAGAGACCCATTAACACTGTCTTTTTCCCCAAATACAGTCTTCAGGCCTTTGTGTTTAAGTTAGAGAGATGACTTCAAGATTAACCTAAGTTTTTAATTCTGTAATTTATCACAACAGCAAAAAAAAAAAAAAAATAGAGAAAACTACATAAATTGATTTTGTGCAAACTGTGCAATGTACTACTTTTTGAAACTGAAATGCCAAAGCTAAAAATAAGAAGACTGCTACATTGTACATCGGAAAGCAGAGGTTTATTGGCCTCAAGACTCAACTTTTTCAATCCAGGATATTTATCTATCATTTGTCTGAAAACCTGCACACAAAGCCAGATTCCACTCAGACCACCAGTTCATGAAACAAATCAAACTGCAAAAATAAATAAAACTGGAGGCTTGTGTCAAGCTTATGAGCATAAGAAAAACTAAAAATGAAAAATGTGTTTAACAGAATACAATGAAAAAAATAAGTTTGAAATTAAATTTATTGTGAAAACAAAACAAAACAAAAAAAAAACAGACCCATTATGCCACATGTGTAAATGAACAGTTTTTTATTCTGTATTTGACAAATGAAAAACAGTTCCATTTATATATATATATATATATATATATATATATATATATATATATATATATATTTTTTTTTTTTTGACAAAACACCACTACCTCTTCTTATGTTTCCCCCTTAATGAGACACCTGAACCTGCCTCTTGGACACAAGATCCAGTCTGGGTGGAACAGGGGAAAGTCTCACTCTCAGAGGAGCTCTGAGTCTGACCATGATGGAGAATACTGATCCACACAGGTGGCTGTGAAAGGGAGAAGGAGTTTCACAGCCCTCAGCACTAGATGGATACTCCTTTGAGACAGCAAACAAGATGCAGCCCAGCTTCAATTTGTCCCACTGCAAATTTAAAATGCTGTCGGTGGAACCTTCCAGAAGCTGGGATCCCAGATGTAAAGGTAAAGCAGAATCATTTTTAGGGGGATCCAGAGTGAATAGATCCTAAATACCTACAAGTCCCTGTTTGAAATCCTCAGGTAAGTGTCTAATTTCTCAGCCAGTTTTGGGAGGTGCTGAGAGAATTTCCCTGACAATTAGAGAAGCTTCCATGTTTGTCCTTTTTTGTTAGATCTTCTTTGTCCACAAAGTGAGTTTCTGCTTGAAAGCTTTAACGTTGACAACAACAAAGCTAATGTCAGCTAGAGGGATGTTCAGTTGGTTCAGTAGTGAACAGATGTCGCAGACATAAAGACCCTCAAGAGGTTGATCCTCCACAAGCTCCTGGTAAGGTCTTCGTTGGATCCGCTGCAGTTCGCCTCCTCGCCTGGCATCAGGATGGATGATGTCATCCAACTTTGATTTTTTCAGTGCCTTCAACTCCATTTAGCCCAGACTTCTGTGGGATGAGTTGGAGCTGCCAGGAGTGGACCACCACATGGCCTCTGGGACCTGTGGCGGTCACTGACTAACCACAGTGTTTTTTCGAACACAGGGCTGTGTCTCCAGCAGCCTTGTCTTTAGTGTGAGTGTCCCACAGGGAATTGTGCTTGCACCATTCCTCTTATCATTCTTCACCAACTCCCCCACTAGCAACTTCACAAGTCCTCCGCTGATGAAGACAGAGAGTGATAAGATCACTGATGGACAATGTCTCACACTCACACCTGGATGAAGCCGATTCTGAACTGCAGATCTCCTTCAATAGGAGCCCAAACCAGCATTGTAGGAGATCCTTCCTCCCAGCAGATGTTAGACAACCACCATCATTCCTCCCAACAAAATAAGTATTCCCATATGGGTTGGTATTTGTAGTTTTTACTAATTTAGACAGTCATTTCTGCTGGTATCTGCAATTTGTATCGTCCTGTATGGTGCAAAACATGTGCATGTGCTCAGATGCACATATTGAATTTTTCTCTTAAATTACCTTACGGAGCTGCACATTCCTTCATGCCACATTATGCTGTTTCTAATAACTGCACAGTATTGTTGCTGAAATTTGGCCTCTACTGCAGAGGATTTCTCATTTTTTATTCTGATTTTATATATTTTATAAGCTGTCCCTTGTGTGAACCTACTTGCTTTTTATCTCCTGTCATTCTTGCTGTTGCACTGGAATTTCCCCATTGTGGGACAATAAAGAAATGTTTATTCTTCACACCCCAAAGCAAACCATCTGACTAAACAATTGAGCCATACAATTCTGAATTAAAACTGTGTCTTTAGCTGTTTTAAAGTTTTCGATGTTGCTCTGACCAGTTTTTTGTTTGATTGCTCAGGTTCACTCTTTTACTGTCTGTCACAGACATATTGATCCAAATTTATCAAATTCTCCCTGCTGCAACTAAAATAAATGTCCATATTTGAATGCAATGTTTACAAAAGATTTTTCTTTCAGAACATTTAAAAATCAAGCTAGTGTGAGAGAATTAAGATTTTACAAAAACATAAGGAGTCAGAAATGTTCAAAGTTCTTGCTTTATCACTACATTTAGAAACAAGAGGTTATGAGACAAGAGGTTATAGCCTCTTGTCTCATAACGGAGAACTGTTTTCAGAAATAGTTCCACTTACAAAAACAAATTATTCGCTTATTTTGTAGAAACAGAATCAGTTCTGGATCTGTATGCATATCAGGCAGAATAATCTAATATTTTACATGACTTCTCATATCAATAAAACATTGAAGGAGATTATAAGAGTCCAGTGGATCAAAGAAGTCATCTTTAGAGAAGACACAGATTCCAATTAGACTTTCAGTCACTGTTCTGGCTTACATGTAAGGACAGTTATTTGCATTTAAATTTGTTATGATAGGAGGAGCATTATATGAAATGACAAGTCTGTCCCCCCTTTTTATCCTCTTGACACTCTGCATCTCATTTAGTCGGGACCTTTTTACAGTGGTGCTGACATCAGGCCTGTGGTGAATCAATATGCCTGCTTTTCTATTCATCAGTAAATGGGAGCATGTAAGCAGAAAAACTCCGCGGTTATGGGAGTTTGATCCTAAATCTGTTTGGGTGATTCTTGTATCCCATTTATCTGCTGACAGTTCTTTTGTTAAATGACTCATATCTTTAACGTGTGATAACAGTTGTAGAGTTTAACCTCTACAACAGGTTATTACCTCTTGAGATTGAGATCAGCACTGGTTATGTGCAGATCTGTGTTTCCCAAAATCAAAGTTCCAACTTAAGAGGTACATGCTTTCCAAACCATAGCTTATTTTAAGTTAATAATTTCTTATTATCGATGAAAAAGTAATTGTTGAATTGAAAAAAAAAATCACTTACAAGACATTGATCCCACATTATGAGTGAAGTTATCTTACTATAGAACAGGTAATTGAAATAAATTTGTTGGTGGTTGTAATAGATCTGAAAAAGTTCATGAGGTATGAATATAACCACTGAAATTTGAAGTAAATTGATTCATAGCTTAAATTGTGTGACTGATTTGATGCCGGAGTAAGTGGTGCACTTCACCACATAG